TGTTTCATATTTGGACATTTTACCAGAAAAAGTCGTTAATGTTAACCTAACAACAAAACTTTATGATAAACGTGATGACTTTAACTTTTCTATCGTCAACGTCCCTTATTTATGTAGCAATATACCCTTATCACTTGCATATTGAGTCTATGTCTCCCATTTGATTCGATACGCAACAATTTCTAAAGCAAGGCAAGCTAAGGTCAACATTTCGCAAGTTCTATGGTCGATACAATAACCTTATCAGCAAATAAGGTTGCACTACAGTATTAAATTTTTCTATATATTCTTTCCAAAAATGCACAACTTTGAGTTTGAGGTCTTAATTTAAAACAAACTTTTGAGAAGTTTCAGATCTTGTAAAACAATTCTTTATAAACATTTAGTATAAAAAACAAATAAACAAACAAACAAAAAAAAAAAAACAAAAAAAAAAAAAAAACCAAACAAACAAAAAAAACAAAACAAACAAACAAAAAACACTTAACCATCCAGCAAGGCACGCAAGTTTGTTTCGGTCGAAGTCGAGCAGGTGCTTGAAAATCAAGTGCAGGACTTAATCGCTCCCCCTCAAATGTAGTATATAAAAAAATCAGCACCCCCTAAATTTTAATGAAATTGGTAAATACAGGAAGCTTACATATATATTTTTACATCTTATAAAAAATCACTCCAGAATCACTCCAAATGCCAAAATCGGGAGGGTAGATTAAGGAACTATTTTGCGTTAGCCATTTTTTGACGTGAACCTCAACTGAAATACAGTTATGACACCTACAATCTGTCATTAAGCTGACTGACTAATTGTTAGGCCATTATTTACATACTGAATTATCTACGTATTTTTCCATGACAAGGAGCACATGGTTGGTGTGACCGGTGGAAAGGGGTTGCTTACTCCTCCATGGCACCTGATCCCAACTCCGATGTTTTAGAGGTCCGAGTTTGTTCTGCTCCCGATTGTATTGTTTCAATGGACTTTTGAGCTTGATTACTGTTTATTTCCATATTTCATGGTAAGGAGTAAGGAGAACCATTTTTTGCTGTTAAAAACTTTCCGAGTCCAAAATTTGTTTGAGTTGCTGTGGAACCGCCCCCCCCCCCCTCCTCCCCCACCCCATCTCGGATAAGAATTGGATCCGCCCATGCAAAATTCTTGCTTTTTGCCAGATATTTGTAACATAAAGACGAAGTAACATTACAACGTACAGGTCAAATGTCCGAGTACCTCTCCATTTCTTAAAAGTAATGGAGCCGAAGCCTCGAAGGGGTCGAGGTCTATTACTTTAAATGAATGGAGAGGTACGAGGATAATGACCTACTTACTCATAAAATCCACTGCCTTTAATGCTCATAATTATTTTTGTTTATATGTGACACAGACATGATTTAATTAGATAAATATATTATTTATTATTATTATTATTATTATTATTCATTAATATACAGCAAAATTTCTATCTTTCTTAAGTGTTATAGATAAAGTTGATTTTGTGAAAGTGCAAGGATATGTATCAATAAAACGCGTCCCGAAATTCGTAGTTTTAATAAATTCTCAGATAGGGGAAATTTCGAAACACGCTTTTAATATATTTTAGAGCAACATATACGTCATGATATTATTTAGAAAATTTTAGAAATATGAGCTTCAAATCTGTGTCCAAGCCTCTTTAAAGATTGAAATAAATTTAATTTAAAGAAGAGGTCAAGTAGATATTTAAATAACCGTTTTCTGAGAGACAGTCGGGATACATTTTCTTTATTCGATATGAAAAAAGACCTTCTATATTTGTATTTTGGTTTTCTTCATTTAAAAATGATAGTTTGTCTAAAATTTATACACCTTATTTTACCAAGCTTCAGTTATAAAACATCATCAAAGGAATTAATTTCCCAAATTTGAGAAACCTGTAGGCACCTTTCATCGTTAGATCTTGACTTTAAGATTATACTGAAAAATTTAGAAAGTTTATTTAAATTTCATAACAAGGTTGTACCATGGTCATACTAATTACTAAAGGCCCGTATACACACTGCAATTAATCTCATGCAAATTTTATTGCATGCAATTCTCTGTTCACATGTTGCAACTAATTGTATACATTTCCTTTATTTTTCCTTCAAAATTGTACATTTCAGGTCATTTCATTTTTTATTTTTTTGAGAGGAAGGGGACACAATCAAACACTTTCAGTTTGGGTGGGCATTACCAAGCTAAATTTCCTTGACAAGCAGAAAAAGGTAATCTGACGGAATTATTGAGAGGGCACATCGATAAAGTAGCATTGTTTTCTATAGTATACTATATATCGACAAAAACTTTAAGGGGGGGGGGGGGCAGACACCCCCGTGCCCCCAGTTCGTACGGCCATGCATTCAAACTAAAGTTGTATTGAAGCTTTCAGCCTAACATCAAGACAAATCAAACTTAGTTGAACAAGTCACTAGTAATGCAACATTTGGACAAATGCTTATAAATATTGCGATTAATGAAATATGGAGATAAAGAACAGTATTCAAGCTCAAAGTCCATTTAGACTATACAAATCAGGAGCAGGGCAAATACGGACCTCCAAAAACATAGAGGTGGGATCAGGTACCATGGAAGAGTAAGCATCCCCTGCAGACCGGTCACACCCGCCGTGTGCTCCTTGTCATGATCGGAAAAAACGGAAAATCCGTAGACAATTCAGTGTGTAAATAATGGCCTAACAATTAGTATGAAATTTGACTTAAATAATAGGTTGTATATGCTGACAAGGTCATTGTATCGACCATAAAACTTGCAAAATGATAACTTCAAACGAGACTGTAGATGTCCTTGTTTCATCAACTTGTTTGTCAATAGCTTGTCTCCTCTTAGAAATTGTCCATACGTAGAGCATGCTCTTGCGTATCGAATCAACTGGTAGACAAAACCCCCATATGCAGGTGATAAGGGTATATTGCTACATAAGTAAGGGAAGTTGACGATTGAAAAATTGAAATCCCGTTTATCATAAAGCTTTGTTGTTAGGTTACGATTAAAGTCTTTTTCTTAATCCCATGCGATTAAGTAAGAATGTATAGGTGATAGTAGTACACTTCATGATTATAAATGATTTAGGATTTCTGTTTGCAGTCATTATTGCATCCCTTTAGTTGTAGAAATTCTGCATACGTCTCTCTTTTAAAGTCTGATTAGCTACTGCTGAAAAAATTGTATATAACTCCACTTGAAATAGCACAGTGCTCTATTCCAGGAATAATCTCATGTCATGAAAACATTTTTCATGCAACTTATATTTACCTGGTTAACATGCTGTAATTTACCCATGCGATTAATTGTATGGGATTAATATATGTTAGGTGTGTACGGGCCTTAACTTTCAAGTCACATCGTGTGCACGTTACTCGATTTAAGGTATGTCACTCGTCAGCCTTTTAGAAAATTTCAGTCAGAACCTCTTACTTAAAAACTATTTATTACAATTCAATCTTTATAACATATTTAAATTAAACAATGTAAAATGTTCAACATTCAATTAAAAAACTGCTCAAAAATTCACAAAGAAGCAAGATTTATAAGGGACTATTTCTTGTGGCGGAAGGATATTTAGCAGAAAATTCTGCAAATCTACACATTTATTAAATTTAATATCTTGGAACTTTAGCCTCACATACTTTTACTCAGAAAAATTTTCCGTTATTATATGCCTGGAATATTAAATATAGGTCTCAATTTATATTTTTATAACAAAATTTACACTTTCGCTCAACAAACATTTCCAAGAAATGAAGATATATTAAGGAAGTCGAGATAAAATTTACACAGTTTTTTTGCCTGAAAATCGCATATTTTGACCAATATTTCAAAATTTACATCACTGACCCCAACTTTTTCTTTCATTATTTTAAACTACTCGATACTTTTGACCGATCAGCACTTAAGTCGTAAAAAGTTTGATACAAGAAAATATTCTATTGCCTATTTAGATTTTTAATACCCCAATATGATACTTTTTTTAGTGCAAAAAGGTCACACAATAATTTACGCGCATTAATTTGCATGATTTGTTCAATGATAAATATTATTCAAACTATTTTACGTAAAATAAGATTATGTTTATTGCCATGGTTACATCTTATAAAATATGATAACGGTTAAAGTGATTAACCAAAGAGTTACAATTTAAGTGCAAAAAGGTCAACTTAATTGTACCTCAGTTAGATGCACACTGACCCCCCATTTTCTCTGCGATTTTGAGTCATACTATATGAGTACTTATCCAAAATATACTTCTCAAAAAATCCTTGATATAACAAATTTCACGAGTGACATACCTTAACTCGTTGACATTAGTTTCAATTTTACAAACTTTTATCGAAAATATATCACTTTTAATAGAGATGCTGACTATTAACTAGAAAAGAGCATTCGTGCATTTAGATTACTAAGCGTGAGAAGATACTTGTACCTATAAGTACCTAATTGGAGATTATGAAGTACATCGAGGAATTAATCTCAAATGTTAAATCATTTTCGCGGTATTGCTAGAAACCGCTTGTGTTGACACATCCACGGTGAACGCTGTTTGTTCCTTATGTATTTATTAGGGTGTATGCATATTTATGTCAAAATAATTTAAGTTATCTGTTGAACATTCGTACATTTACTGAAAGATCAATAATTGATAAGAAATTGATTTTCCTCTCGGCAACAAAGAAACAAATGGAACCGAAAACTTTGAAACATAGGCTCAAAATATTAGAATTATTTCTTAAATTCATTCTCATTTAAAAACAAAAAAAAATCGATCATGCATTTATATCGATTGTTTGAGATACACTTCCCCATACCTAAAGATTACCGATTCATTTCCTGCTTTCAAAGGAAGAGGGAAACCAATTATTGAAGTACATATAATTTCGCACGCGGAACTTTTTACATTGGTGATTCCATTGATTATTTCATAGGCGGTGAATTTTAAGGAAATAAATGACTACCGATTTCACAGATGATGAATGAAATAATTCATGTCATATTGTTTTGTGCCATTTTCATTCATTTTCCTGCTTCTTTAAAGACTGGATCGTGTTTATATGGCAATTGCACTGAAACTTCTAATTCGACAGATGTGATTGTAATATGTGATTCGGTTGATGATCCCTTAACATCCATTTCAGAAAATGTCACCATACTTATCTATGTCAACACGAGAAACAACAGTGTAATTAACAATCTGTGCTTTAAGACCTTCAAGAAATTAAGGGTAATAAACCTGAACAATAATATGCTGAGTAGCATTCCAAAAGGATGTTTTTCTGATTTTCCTTCTCTTGAGAATCTTAGCATATCAAACAACGACCATCTTGGATTGGATAATCTATACAATGCATTTTTTGGACTCAATAATACCAGAATAAAACACCTTTATGCAAATAATATTAACCAGGTGGAAAAGATCTATCCGTTTCCAAAGAATATATCTCTTCTGCTTAAAAGCACATCACTGCAGTTGTTACACTTGGCGTACAACGAAATTCAAATTCTAGAATCTGGGGCGATATTTTCGTTGCCACAGACACTTCTAGATGTTTCAATCCATGGAAACCGAATTGAAGCAGTACCTGATTTGTTGGAGATAGGACATCTTAAAAGTCTAATTCGACTGGACATGAGCTTCCAATGTTCCACACGTAAATACCGCTCCAGACTTCGAAGACGAGTACATTTCAAACCAGATTTTGAAAACCATACGATCGATGAGTTTTGCAATTCGGAGGTGTCACAAGAAAGTAAAATTCTAATGGCACTTCCATCTAGTTTAAAAACATTGATTTCCTCGGGTATGATATCGGGGTCGACCTGCATTCCACCAATAAATATCGGACGTGACAGCATGCTTGAGTACATTGACTTATCAATAGATGCATATTACAAGTGGATTGGTCCCATTAATGTTACCAAATCTAATCAAATCAGGGTTCTTATTTTATCGCACAATCAATGCCAAGATATCAATACTGGATATTTTGACAATTTGGTGAACCTCTCTACGCTAGATATAAGCCACAATTTCCTGGGACCTTTCTTTAAGCGCAATGAGAGCAAAGAAATCTTTCAGGGACTGAAATCTTTAAAGAATCTAACAGTGAGTTACAATTTTATAAGCCAAGTGCCTGAAGATCTTTTATTACATAACAATTTGTTAGAAAAGCTGGACATCAGTAATAATGCACTAGAAATTTGGAACATTAGCATCAACCATCTTAAAGAATTAACATCCATTGATTGTTCCTTCAACAAGCTTGAAACTCTTCCAAAAACAATCAGAGATGGTTTGGATGAAATAAGTCTTTCTCATGAAATTACCCTAGATTTTCATCATAATAAGATTTTATGTTCCTGCGAAAACGTGGAATTCATCAATTGGATTTTCAAATCAAGAGTGCTTATACATTTATCAGAAGCCGACCAGTGCACAGGATATAGTGGAAATATTACCCATGCCTATGTGTATTTAAATAAGGAATGTAGCAAGAATCTCGACAGAAGGGAATGGCTTTATCCATTTCAGTTCATTGCTGTTCTTTTTATTCTCTCTGTTATGGCTATTGTAGGGTACAAGAAACGCTGGGCTATTATTTATCGCTGGTACTTGTTTCGTCTGCATAGAAAAGGATACACTCCAATCGGGTGTGAAGATGGCTTTCAATATGACGCCTTTCTGTCTTTTGCAGATGAGGATAGGGCCTTCGTTGATAAAGTTGTGGAGCAACTGGAGGAAGATTCCGACATTCAATTTAAGCTTTGTGTGCATTACAGAGACTTTACTCCGGGAAAATCAATTTCCAAAAATATTGTATCAGCTGTTCACTCCAGCAAAAAGACAATCGTGTTCATGTCGCGTGCGTATCTCAAAAGCCATTGGTGTAATTACGAACTGCGCATGGCGGTAACAGAGGAGAGTCACATGAACCGCAAAGTAATTATAATGACTCTCCTTGAGGAAATACACAGAGCAGAGCTTTCGTTAGAGGTCTTACAGTATTACCAAAAGAACAGTTACATTGCAAGACCAAACAACGAGCAAGAAATGAAACTGTTCTTAAAAACTTTGAAAGGGGTAGTGGCAAATGATTTACTTTAGAGGTTATTAACAGTTTTATGCATTATTAAAATTTTATGTTCCTGTTCAAATTATAAAGAAAACTAAAGCTTCGTTGTGTTTGAAACAGATATTAGACAGAATCGCGAAGAGGAAATTACGGCCACATAATATAAACTAGATATAACTTTTAGAGAAGACTCGTAGCAAATTGTGTTGCGACTCTAACAGATGAATATTCAAATCGTAAATTATCCATTGCTCTACAACAAAATAAATAAAAGCACTCGTCAGTGACTGGAATAAAAACATACACTCATTCAAGAGAGAAAAATCTAAAAAGAAAGAAGAAGCAATTCATTTATAGATTTGTGTATGTGCTAATATTTTATTTAAATTCAAGTATCTGTTTTGTATATACCGGAACAGTTGTACATATTTACTTGATATTCATTGTTTGATCATGAAATGTTGTACATTTGGACCTACATGTTCAGTACAAATTCAATTTTTTCAAGTATTTTTTTTTACAAAATTGATTTTTTCTTTTTTCAAGATGAGACTTGGTCTTCCTTTTAAAGTTTTGTTTAGTTTTGTTTACGTCTTAAACATCTCGGTACATATTCTTATTTTATACCTTATATGAGCACATTGGTAAAGACAAGCTCAACTTTTATTTTCTTTTCCATCAAGGTCTTTTTTTGATGTTCATTCAATTGGTTTAGAGGTCAGATGAATGGGTTATTTGCCTTCACAAAAAGAATTGCATTGCATTTAACAATCCCAAATACTTATATATAGGCTTTAGAGGGAATCATAATTAACATATATAGTGGCTGTAAATGGTGCGTATGACAGATGTTGACCTGGAGAATTGGTATTTAAAGCTTTTCATCACCAGTGTAACCGTTAATGTAAAAAACTCTATACTACTACTGTATTATTCTAAATTTTGTAAAAGATTATAAGATGGGTTTTTAAAATTTTATTTATTTATTTATTTTTAGATTTTTGGATGTCAAAATATCAGCTGTTATTGTCCTTCTTTTAGAGCTTCAAACCTTTTTAAGACTTGCGAATCTAAAAGTGAATTTGTGTATACTGTATTGCGTCCATTATAGTGAAGATTGAAGCTTTCGCCTGTTACACTATATTATTTTTGTAATTGGTCCACTAAACTTCTCTGCTTGAGGTACCATCACTAAATTGTTCTTACTGTGGTTCTGTACTAGGATCATATACCGCAATAACTTCGTTCCTTGACATCAGTTTTATTATTTAAATGTCACGATTTTTTAAAGAGCTGATCCCACTGCTTCCTCCAGTGTATCGATTCAAGGATATAGGGTTATTAGTTGTTGGTCGATGTTGGTTTTCCGGTCACTATGGTTGAAATAATCCCAGTGAACACAATTTATTTAATGAACAGTGACCAATTTTTGGTCCACTTTTAATAATAATTTTAATGAAATAAAATGTTATGAATAACATCCTGTGTAAAGTTTATAACATTTATAATGAAGATTGAATGGTCCAATAATAACACATATAATAGTTGTTTGGTTGGTACAACGTTATTACATCTAAGTAAAGAATGCTGTGACTAACCAATCTAAGACGTTTCTTTTAACTTGATAATGAATGGCTCTTACACGTATACTTGACTTGGTAATGTTGGTACATACTGTTTTATACTCGAAATGTACTGAGTCGCTTCCTGCTGTCGAAAAGAAAAAAAAAACTTCCTTTAGCTATTTTACTTAACGTCAAAAGACGTGCTTTAAATAATACAGCAACATAAACGTGGCGTTAAACGCCTCTAAAAGAGAAGTGAATGTCACTCCCTGGTAAAATTGAGGTATGTTGTTTATATTCTGAGGAGGATTCATGGGCGATTCAAAACTGATTCTGATTTTTGGCTATACTGAGAAGAAAAGTATTTAATCCTATTTCTTGACTTTTAACCTTGGGCAAACAAAAAAGACATTCTGACTGAGCATCCAGTTGACATTTGAGAAAAAAAAACTTTTTGTATATATTATGAATATCCATAGCTCAAAACTTAACATTTCATAAAACGTCACTTAAGCGGCAAGGCAGATATGTGCATATCTATATAATAAAAAATTACTTTTACTGTTCTTTGTAGAGAATGGTCTTCAATGTATAGTCTAATTACGTATATAGACTTGTAGTTGACTTTGGTATGCTTTTAGCTCTACTGGTCAGAGACCGATAGTAAGGTGTCCGTCGTCCGTCCGTCTGTCTGTCTGTCTGTCCGTCCGTCTGTAAACAATTTTTCAAAACGCTCCTCCTCCTACAGTTTTGGTCTGATTTCAATATAACTTGGCACATAAGTAGACTACACTAAGATACTTAATTCTGTATATCAGTTTTTAATTTCGATGAACGGTGTTGCCATGGTTACTAAAAATATGAATTTCCTTGAAAAACTTTCAAAACGTTACTCCTCCTACAGTTTTGATCTTCTGGTTTTCCCCTACAGTTTGATTTTTTTTTTTGTGAAACTTTTGGTTTCTCTAACCAATAATATATGTTTATATGTTTTGATAAATTTAATCAAAAGTAGGATAGATTTCTCGGTTGTTTTTTTTTCTTAAGATTTGTTTTTAAAAGATATCCTTATTACAATCTACATGATAATATGAGGAATATTATGAATTTAGAAGGTTTGTACCAACTTTTTCCAAACAATATTTCATTAAAGGAAGGAAAGCAAAATCTAGATTTTCTTTGCCCTTTTTAGTGGTCTGCATCATCCAGACGTTTGCATTTACCTCCATGCATACTACCCATTTCAGTAATTTTACCACATTATGCTTAACAACCCTGTATGAGCTGTTGGAAATGAAACTATGAACATGCACAGAACAAAATATCTTTCTTTTTCAAACAAGAAAAAGGTATTCATTTATAAGAAATGAAAATGCACAGAACTATCCCTTTTTATCATAAGTGGCTCTCTTTCTCTCCCCCTCTCCCCCCCCTCTCTCTCTCTAAAAAACAGTCGTTACGACAAAGTATAGGATGGTTTATCTCAAATTTTACTGCGGATTCTCTCAAAAGGTACTATGAAAGTAAGAAATACATCTTCCTAGTCCCTATCAGAATAAAATGCGGAATCAATGTCGGTACGGAAAAACTATCCACTGAAGCAAAATACCAAATTTGAACATTAGAAGATAACCATGGAATTTATCATATGAAAAACCCCCCAGATGTTACGTGAAGCCCACAGTTTGAAAGGAATTACTATAGAGAAATCGCAATGTAATACAGTTTTTAATACCTCTACATGTAATATCTGATTGGAATGCCTAGATGATGCATAAACTCAGTGCATGCTTAAGTTTGATTGACATAAAAACTTATGTTTATAATTATACTCAGCATATCACAAACTTATATTTATAATTATACTAAGCTTATCACCCTATTTAAGTAACACCAGCCGATCTCTTGATAAGAGAGCTCTATGACACGTGTTTAAGTGACACAAGCCGATATCTTGATAATTTAAGGGTGCTCTTTGATGGAGATATGAATATCGTTATACAAACCATTAGTAGGTTTTTACCAGGGAAAAAAGTAAATATCAGTTTAAGGAGCACATTTACGTCCAAATTCAGTTAAGCTGTGCCAATGATCATGGTAAAAACGTCCACTATATATTTTATATCTTATAATGAAGAAAACATTTTCAATAGTTTTATAAATGACAACTCTTGTTGAAAAAAATAAATGGATGAAAGATGTTGTTATAAATACAAACCGCTACCATCTAGAAATCGGCCCTTGATACAATATAATATGAAATAATATGAATAAAATGTAATCTTAAATCACTGTAACGAATTTCACATAAAAAGGTTATTTGGGCCTTAATTTTAAATAATTCACAGCATTTTATACTCTCTATGTTGAGACGGTCACGGTACCTAGTGGTAGGGCGTTCGCTTCGTGATCAGAAGGTCCGGGTTCGATTCTCGTTCTTTGCGCTGCGTCAAATCTAAGACATAAGCATAAGTAGTGTCTGTTCCTTCGCCAGGCGCCCGGCACTAAAAGGGAGAGTCACGGTTCTTTCGGATGAGACCTTAAAAACCGAGGTAGGCATTGGCACGATAAAGATCCCCCACTATTCAATGGCCCTGATTGCCGAGTAAAGGTCCAAATTTGAAGCCCTTCACCGGTATATGGTGACGTCTCTATATGAATGAAAAATTCTTGAATGGGACGTAAAACAACATACATACAATCAATCAATCTAATAAAATATCCAAATATGAAACAGATGTGTCAGACTCTGTAGTATCTTTTATTTCAAACTCACTGGGATACACCGAGTCGATATATATGAGAAATGAGAGCAAGGCTTTGGAAAATTCTAAGAAATTCTAAAACAAATTCTGAAAAATTCTAAGAAATTCTAAGAAAAGGACAAGATGGCTCTGGTTTAACTGGGCCCATCTGTCTTTTCTAATCAATCAATTCAACAAATCTACCAGAATACTTCAATTTTTTTAGTACTTTATCGTTAACCTATTGATAAAATTTTATAGTTTATAGATATAAGCGTGCAGAGTTGGTGATATTTCGATCCCATTTCAGTGATGAGGGTAACGCTTGAACGGGAATGGAGGGGTGATTTTTGTAACCTGTTAAATAAAGCGTCGGCTCTTTATCAAGGATCACAATCCATTCGCCATGGAAAAAAAGTCTGTAGTCTTTGAAAAAAGAAGGTTATTTGGTCAATCACAAAGATACCTAAATTTCAAGAGCTGTTCAAAACGGTTTGACACAGCGCCGCGTTTGCTTTTGATAACTTTTTGATAACTAACTAGCATCTAACTAGAAACGGTAGAAACTCAAATAAAAGGATGTCAAATGCTGTTCTAAGGATTCTGAACTTATTCCTCTTTGCTCATTCTCATGCAAAAAAAATAAAAATTTAGCCCCCCCCAAAAAAAAAAACTATCTGTATGGAGTATCTTAAAGAATAAAAAATAGGTAATAATGTAAATACATGTATATATATTTTTATTATTAACCGCTGAAACAACATCCATATTTAAATATTAAAATAAAACCATTAAATCCTAATACTTGTGAGGAATGGATTGTAAAATTTGTGAAACTGACATCAAGATAATAAAAAAAATGTTAGAAAGAAATTTCAAACGTTTGCGGTGTTTTAATAAATAATTGACCAAACAAAATACTCTAATGCAGAAAAAAAAAAAGAAAAGAAAAGAAAAGTTTTGGTTTTGTAACGTAAAGTGGCAATGCAATTATACAGAACTTGTGGTGAAAAGGAGATTTTCAAAAAATACGTTTCACAGGACTTTATGAAAGAATTTAATTTATTTTATGCTATCAGGTAACTGTTTTGGGAATGTATCAAACCCTGCAGCAAAACCATAATCATTAGAAAAGGTGGATTCTCTATACTGGAATGCAGGGGACTCTGAGGAGACATAAAGAAAACCGATTGGGGAGAAGCTGACTAGTCAATAATTTATGAACATTTGGATATACGTATCCACAAAAAAAATTGTATCTGTAAGTAAAAAGATGAAGTGTACGACTGACCTCAAAGCTAGAGAAATACAGGTTCTGATATACATTTAAAAAATCGTTCAAAGTTTTAAACGGGTTTTTCGTAGGAAAAACCTTGTTCTCGAAATGGTGAAAATGGAGGACGGGCATCTGCCAAAAGGGTGCATCAGTTTTCATGAAAGTAACTTTTTTTTATTTTGCAGTTCAATTGTACATATATCAGATATGTACATGCTGCTTGGATTTTGATTTTTGATAATTTATGAGAAAAAAAAAAAACCAGCTCTTGAACTTAGTCTTTTACTCTTTTCTTTTCTTTTTCATTTTTTTTTGAAAAATATTGCACATAGGGTTCCCCATTTGTCCGGATAACTCCTCCTACAGTTTTCAAGATTAGGAAGTTCTTTTGCAGATCAATTGTACATATATCAGAGATGTGCACATTACTTTAATTTTGATTTTTGATAAATTATGAGGAAATTTCCAGCTTTTGAACTTACTAATTATTATTATATTTTTTTTTGAGGGGGGGGGGGCAAAAAATTGCATATAGGGTATATCGTTTCTGACAAACAATGTACTCTATATGCAATATTTTGCCATATATATATATATATATATATATATATATATATATATATATATATATATATATATATATATATATATATATATATATATATATATATATATATATATATATATATATAAATATAAATATATATATATATAAAATAATAATAATAATAATAATTACTTGGAGGAGTCTTCCTCCTGTTGGAGGAGTTATCCTGATGATAACCCCTCCAACAGTTTTCAAGATGTGGACTTTTTAATTTTGCAGATTAATTGTACTTGTGTACATGTATCAGAGATGTGCATGGTACTCTGATTTTGACTTTCGATCATTAATGGGAAAAATATATCATTTCTTGAACAAAGTCATGTATATGCAAAATATGCTAATAGAGTACATTGATTTTGTTAGGATGTAACCTCCTACAATTTTCAGAATGGAAAGTTTTTGTAATAGACGACTTTCACATTCACAAGAGTTATTTCCCTTCTGGGGTCAATCTAGAGTCAACCGGCGTAAGCTATATAACCAACTTATTGCGGCAGTATCTAATAAATAAAATCTATATGTATATGTTCATTATGTTTCCTTGTTTCCCCATACTTTGCCAATAAAGGTTGAAATATTTAAAAATTTTACAGGAAAGATACAAAAAAATATAGTGAGAAAAATTGGTATTTCAGGACAAAGGGAAAAAGTCTTGCAAATGTGAAATTTGTCTATTCATGTGAGAGAAAATACCAGTTCTATTCACATAAAAGAAACCCAGTTCGCTGTCAGATTGATAGCTTTGTTTGGTTTAAATGGAATCACACCATGACAGAGGATATTCATTAACTCATCACCAAATTGAAGCTAGCCAGGAAGCAGCACTGAAGAATATCTTCTATAATTCTCATGCATTAAATGATTAATGACTGATATTTACACACAATATTCATCTGTTAAGTAAAGTGCTGTTAAACCCATTTTCAATTCTATTAAATTATAAATTACAAGTTAAATCTTACATGGTTATTTCAAATTCGGAGAGTCAACAAATAAAAATAAAACACAACGCGAAGGTCAGACCAGGTTATACGATCATTAGACCTGCTACAAGGATACAGTGCGTTCAACGCCTTTTTGGCAAACGTAAATGTTTTGGAATTTTTTACTCTCTTAAAAAAATAACTAGAATTTGTATTTCAGTTGTTAGCTTTTGGAGGTCCGTGTTTGCTCTGCTCCCAATGTGTATTGTTTAAATGAGCTTGAATACTGTTCGTTATCTCCATATTTCATTGGATTAAGGGATTCGATGTATAATATTTGGTACCTAATAAATGAATGGTCAGATATTTTTAATCATGGTCGCATTTTAAAGGTGTTATCAAATAAATTACTCCATCAAGGGCATTTAAAAATTTTTGATAATTGTCCAATTGATTGCACCTTGAATTTTACATTGAAGTCTATGGGTAGCGCATGTGTTATCAAGATATTGTAAAAAGTAACTTGAACTTCATTTAACCTCCTGGTAAAAATATACATAACCTCTCTCTTTACTAAAATATGAAATAAAAAGAATCATTTACCACAGATAATCTGACAGAATTAAAATTTTCTTCTTTTCATCAAGGGCAGATAACTCTTCAAAACGTTTAAGGTGCAAAATGACCGGCTTCTTATATGTTATCAGTCCTGGGAATATGGTTCATTTCACTTTCATCATTATCTAGCAATGCATATTTAACTATTTTAAAATGATTCAAAATTGTTCAAATTACTTTCATTATACATTGAATATCTTAGGACATTACAGTTTGCTATTGCCTGAAAACATTCCTTAGAAGAAAAAAAAAATCGTCTGACTGACTTTCTAAGCTTTTATAAAAAGCTAAACTTGTTTACCCTTTATCACAGATAATTGTGCTCTAGGAGTCAGTTTTTGAAAAATGTCAGAGAAATTTCTCATGTATATGCCAATTTTTTCCCTCTGTTACATAGCTAATGTGATTATATTAACTGTTGATAAGAATATAAGGTTTATGCACCAGTCCTTTATATAATAGAAAATAAATTTATTCGAATTGCAATTAATGAGGTTTTTTTTTTGTTCTTTCTTTAATTACAGTGTAATTGACTAACTAGAATAAATCTTTTTCAACAAGGTCATATTCAGAGGCTGTTGCAATTGAAATTGTTGTTTGTTGAACAAGGAACTTGTCCTCTATCTGTTGGTACCTATTTTTCATTTCCAATTATCACGTCATAACCTTAAAAAAAATTAATAAGAATACACAATTTAAAGAATTCTTTATACAGATTTATAATAGCATACCAAATTAGAAAGAACTATTTAGGTTTTAAATCAATGTTATCATTTAATCAAAAGTATATAATTTTCATCATTTGCTCATATTTTATTGTTTGAGAGGTACTTCCTTATTACTTGAATTCATTTATGTCCGGCTTTCAAAGGAAACCGAAACAGTCTCGGAGTCCAATTACTTAGTTGTCTCGTACGCGGAACTTTTTACATCGGTGATTCAATTCATTATACAGTGCATCTTGATTTATTTTATATTGGACAGTTAGCGACTAAACAGAGACAACGAAAGATGTACGAAATAATTCTTGTCACATCGTTTTGTGCAGTTTTTATTCATCTGACTGCTCTTGAAAAGATAGAATTCTATTTATGTGGCAATTGCACGGAAACTTTTAATTCGACAGATGTGATTGTAACTTGTGATGGAGTAGTTAATAACTCATATTCCTCGATTTCAGTAAATGTCACTATTCTTATTTATCAAAACTCCCAAAACAACAGTGTAATCAATGATCTGTGCTTTAAGAATTTGGAGAAATTACGGGTAATAAAACTATCCAAAAATAAGTTGAGTATCATTCCAAAAGGGTGCTTCTCCAATTTTCCTTCTCTTGAGAACCTAAGCATATCGAACAACGACAATCTTGGATTCGATAACTTATATAATGCGTGTTCTGGACTTAATATGACTAGAATAAAATACCTTTATGCAAACAATATAAACCAGGTTAAGATAACTTATCCGTTTCCAAAGAACATTTCTGTTCTGCTCCAAAACACGTCATTGGAGACCTTACACTTGGCGTACAATGAAATTCGAATTCCGGAGTCTGGGGCAATATCCAACTTGCCAAAGACACTACGAGACGTTTCAATCCGCGGAAATCGATTTGAAGCATCACCAGTTTTATTGGAAATGGGTTACCTTAAAAGTCTTACTCAGCTAGACATAAGTTTCCAGTGTACGACACTTAAATATCGGTCCAGATTTCGTAGACGAGTAGATTTCAATCCAGAGATTGATAACCACACGAGCGTTGATTACTGCAATAAAGAAAAGTCACTAGAAGCCGACGTTCTAATGGCACTCCCTTCTAGTCTTAAAAGATTGATTGCCACTGGTATGGTATCGGGGTCGAACTGCATTCCACATCGGAGTACCCGAAGTGACAGCAAGCTTGAGTATATTGACATATCAAGGGACGGGTATTACAAGTGGATCGGTCCCATTAATGTCACCAAATCCAATCAAATCAAGGTTCTAATTTTATCGCACAATCAATGCCGGGATATCAGCAGTGGATTTTTTGACAATTTGGGGAATCTTTCCAATTTGGATATAAGTTTCAATTTATTAGGACCTTTCTTCAAGCGCAATGAAAGCAAAAACATCTTTAAGGGATTACAATCTTTAAAGAAACTAAATGTTAGTTACAACTGGATAAGCCAAGTGCCTGAAGATCTTTTATTACATAACAATTTGTTAGAAAATCTGGACATCAGTAATAATGCACTGGAAACATGGAGCATAAGCATCAACCATCTTAAAAAATTAACATCCATTGATTGTTCCGTCAACAAGCTTGAAACTCTTCCAAAGACCTTCAGAGATGCGTTGGACGAAATAAGTCTTTCCCATAATATTACTTTAGATTTTCATCATAATAAGATTTTATGTTCATGTGTAAACATGGATTTCATTAACTGGCTTTTCACATCAAGAGTGTATGTACATTTATCTGTAGCTGACCAGTGCACAGGGTATAATGGAAATATTACCCATGCTCACGAATACCTAAAAAAAGAATGTGGCAAGAACCACAACCTAAAGGAATGGCTTTATCCCGTTCAGTTCATTTGTATTCTCTTCATTCTCTCCATTCTGGCTGTTGTTGGTTATAAGAAACGCTGGGCAATCATTTATCGCTGGTACTTGTTTCGTCTGCATAGAAAAGGATACACTCCAGTTGGGGAATGTGAAGATGACTTCAAGTATGACGCCTTTCTGTCTTTTGCAGATGAGGATAGGGCCTTCGTTGATAAAGTTGTGAAGCAACTGGAGGAAGATTCCGACATTCAATTTAAGCTGTGTGTACATTACAGAGACTTCACGCCGGGAAAATACATTTCCAAAAATATAGTCAAAGCTATTCACTCAAGCAAAAAGACAATTGTGTTCATGTCGCGTGCGTATCTTAAAAGTCATTGGTGTAATTACGAACTACGCATGGCGGTAACGGAGGAGAGTCACATGAACCGCAAAGTAATTATAATGACTGTCCTTGAAGAAATACCCAAAGCAGAGCTTTCGTTAGAGGTCTTACAGTATTATCAAAAGAACAGTTACATTGCAAAACCAAACAACGAGCAAGAAATGAAACTATTCTGGAGAACTTTGAAGGGTGTAATAGCGAATGATTAAGTGCTGCAACTATATGTTATTTATCGAATACCGGACTTTTGCGAAAAACGCTGACTTTTACAATCGACGGCTTAATTTTACACTAGGACAATATACGGAAGCTCTTTTGCGATGCTGAACAGTTAATTAAACGATAATAATGGGCCATTTCAAAGTGCATATTACGTTGTTCAGGAAGGGAACGGCAACCAGTATACCCTCGGCCGCCTCCCTTTCCATATTCACCAACTCTTACATAGTTTTCCTTCCGGAATGTTTTTCTTCCTTATTTTATTCCTTCGGAAAACGAGATTGAAAGGAGATACAACCCCTCACGAATAATATAATTTAAGCTATGTAATTCTGCCTCCCATCATCTCTTGCGTTGATCATGTTAGTGCCCCTAACACCATATTTCTTGTCTATTAGCAATTCCGTACCTTCGGACATAAGGCAGGTTTAAATGTCAAAGTAAACCTTCGACTGTAAAAGTCAGCGCTTCTTGCAAAAGTCCACCAGTATGTAATTCCTTTTTTGAGAGGATTTCGTTTCAAAATAAATTATTCTTCTTTGCAATTAATAAACATTTCCCAATAAAACAATTTATGTAGAACTAAAAGGTTGTCCATTCTTAGGTAATTATAAGCTCTACCCGAATTAAACGTAGAGGGATAATGCAGTTGTAACTGCATACATAAGACAAGAATTCACGATGCTGGATCTTTTCTATATTTTATAGATAAGTGACAAGATTAAAGGTTTTGGAAAAGATCCATTCTTAATACATGTACTTAGTTAAAGCCTAAGCGTTCCAATCTTGCAAGGATATTGCATTTACGAACACTTTCTATAAGACTTTCATCAGATACTGCATCTTTATTTTCCGAGTGAGTGACAAGGTTTAAGTTTAAAGAGCTAGTTAATTACCAAGAACTTATAAGCCCTATCACGACATAACAGAATATTTGGATGATAATTCTAGGGATGCAACACCATCAGACTTTCCTTTATCTAGGGATGTCAAATCGGTCAATATTTGATAATCGGTTACTCGGACGAATTTCCTATCAAGTGCCTGTTGCGAACAGTTGCAATTTCGCAATTTTGTCTAGAAATTTTAATGAATTGATTTTAATTATTTTATTTTATTTATAATTATTTTAATTATCATGTATAATCTAGAATGTTCTACATGTTACTTGAATGAATTATCAAGAATTGTCTAGAATGTGTCAGAATGTGATGACCTAGAATTTTACAGGACTGTTTCCTGCATAGTATATAAGTGACAGTTTTTATGATCATAGAAGAGATTGGGTAATTTTTTTTAACCTGAGAATATATAAGAAAGCATTCTGAATATCTAAGTCAATGTAGTATTGAATTATTAACCCTTGTGGATTTGTTATTTGCCTTTAATTCGCCGTAATTAATTATAAAAAAGATTTCCGTGTGATTGTGATTTGCCACATTGTATGGTGGCGGATCCCGGGAATTGGAAATATCACGGAATGGAAGAAAATGTCTACCTCATTCTTGAAAGAAAGGACTTTATAAGAATTTACTGATGAAAGAAATGGTTAAAAGTAAGGTATTTCTTTTACCAGAAGCTGAAGAAGAGGGCATGGCAGCCAATTTAAAACAGATCCAATCTTCCAATCTAAGTTTGAACTACTTTCATTCAACGGGGATGAATTAAAGTGGAACGAATTCTGGGACTTCTTTTTAGGCTTCAGTGCACAAAAACTCAAAGCTTTCCAATACTGAGAAGTTCAACTGCTTGAAAAATAAAATGGAAGAAACTTCAAGATCTGCTATTTCCGGCCTTATGCTCTACCATGAAAATTATGATGTAGCTCACTCAATATTGAAGGACGATTCGGAGACGTGCAGTCTGTAATAACCAAACATTACATGGACCTTATTAACATTAGGCCTGCACTCAATAACACCTACAGTCTCCGTACATTATTGGATGAACTAGAAAAACATATGCGCAGCCTAGAAGTCTTTGGATCAGAACGTAAATCAAAATGTCTTTGTTTCATGATAATAACGAGTTACCAAAAGAAGCCAGATTACAATAAGAAATGCATAAAGGAAAGAAAGAAAGAAAAATGGACTGTGCAAATGCTGAGAGAATTTCTTGATAACTACTTAGAAGCCAGAGAGTTAACAAAAATGGACAACCAAACCGATCATGAGAAACAACATACTGGAAAAAACTTTATTACCATATCTAAATGAAAGAAAACACGTAGTCTTAAAAACATCATTTGAACAATCACTCAAAAGAAACAAATATGAAAGAAAACAGCCCGGGCCATTTGTATTTTCTGTGAACGAAATCATTGGAGTGATGAATGCAAAGAATTCAGGACAATTGATGACAGAAAACAGAAGATTAGAGAAAGATATTACATTTTCTTAAACCGGGTCATCTGAGCAAAGATGTTAAAGTTGATAACCCCTGTGTCCATTGCCATCAGACAAAGAAACATCACCGATTCTCTGCAATAAGAGGATGCAGATTTCGAGAGAAATCTCACGATTTGTCGAAACATTAGATTCATGATTCTGAACCAGTTTACAATGCACCAAAAACAGTCTTTGGATCAAATAAGCCGGTGACAGTGAAAACACCAAAAGACTTTTTAAGAATGAAACTAAAGGACACAGAATAAGAATTGGCGCAAATGTGTCTCAAATAACTGAATCAATACAAAGAAGACCATCGCCATCTAACATCATTGAAACGCTGAAGCACTATAATCGAAACATTTACAAGTTGCTGATACCCTACCAGAAACCGCAGAAAACCAGGAGACCAAGGAGTCGTGTTGTCAAGGTCATAAGACCAAGATCGTAGAAAAATTACATTAACACCTTATAATGACATACAGTGACCTTATTGTTGCTACCAGAACAACTGACCGTCATTTTTGTATAATTTGTCAATTCATAATGACATACATTTGTAATAATGCAGGTATATTAGAATTATGTGCATGAGGTTTAAACCAGTTTGTTTGATTGATTGATTGAATGCTTTTCATATTTTAATTTCCAACAGTATAACTCACGTTAGTCAGAAGCTCTAGTTCAGTTGTCCAATTGTCTAATTGTCCAGTGTATACATTTCTATATGTAATTACGTCTGGCAGTTTAATCTTCTCCAAAACCACAGGACAGAGAAGACAAAACTTGTGTGAAAGCATTGTTAATGAATGTAGAATCGACAAGTTTGTTCAAATCATTTACCCAGTGTGACAGCAATACTTAGGGGTTAACGTTTTTCATTTACAAAAATCTTTATATGTGGGCATTTCTTCTTTTAACAACACAGTCACATTAAGTCATACTGATATACATGTATGCAAGCATCTTCATACAGTGAAAATGAAAGTTGTTCAATTTATAAGCTTCATGATAAGGTCACAATAGAAGGTCATAGTTTTATACAGTAACATATACATAGACAAACTCCTTAAAACATTTTTAAGAACATCAGTCCCTAATTACGTCATATTGGAATGAAAGCATCTAGTAGGTAATAGTTTTAATCAGTAACATATATAGACAAATTCTTTAAAACATTTTTAAGAACATCAGTCCCTAAATAAGTCATATTGGAATGAAAACATTTTCATGCAGTGTACAGGTAGATTAAATTGCCCCTGACTCTACATGTACATGTAGACTGGACAAAACAGGGGGGCAAAGTTCTACAGGAGAATATAAAAGATGTTTTTTAATTAGAGATTAGTGAATGAGCTCGCGAAATTATACCCACACGATGGCCCACAGCAATTATTTTTAGGGGGCGTACATTTTTCTAAAAGTGACTTTGAACTTAACCAAATAACTTTGGATCAAGATCCTAACACACCTTCCGGACATTAAGTGTAATATCTGTATGACATATAAACGTTCAATGCTTCTCAATTAGAAAGTACCAAAGATGAATTATATATTTTTTTACAGTGAACTTGAACCTGCCAAAGTGACCTTGGTCAAGGTTATTACCTACCCTGAGCTCAAACTTAATCTTTTTTTTACAATCAGCACCCACTGTAAGTTTATTGAAGAGTTACTAGTAAATACATGAACTGGACTCGAATTATACCATATGTTCTTTCATATTCGACCACTCAACACCTTTACATCTACGTAGGTACAAAGCTATAGAAGATTGCATACCCCCCCCCCCCCACCGGTAAGCTGATTCTAGAGAAGGGACCCCCCCTCCCCAGGAAAAGTAGCGCCAGAGTAGAACTTCCCCCACGGAAAACTGGTTTCCCCACGGAAATCGCAATGTAGAATCAACTTTCCGATAGGGAAAATTATACTCAAGATTAGAACTCCGACCTTAGAGCTAGTTTTTCCCCACCCCTATTAGTAGTGCCTTGCATATCATTGTATACATGTATTTTATTTCAGACTGCAAGGAAAATAAGTACTGTTTTTAAATAAGAAATGATATTTAACTATTACGATCAATATTTGAATTACCATATTTACGTCATGTTCAGGAAATTAATTCAACTTACATTTTTGTAATACACTTTTTGATTTAGTTATCGGTAAGTTTTAAATACCTAAAAGCTTTTTCTTGCCTGATCAGTGCCTGATTACCGTTCTCTCAAAAGATATAAAGAGGCAGGGATTGTATTACCCCTATAGATTCCAGAATGCAATAAATTCTAAAACAAAGCATACAAAATGTTAACTTGATTACCACTACTAAAATGGAATTATAATCATGATAACGTTACTTCGGGAGCGGGGAGAGAGAGAGGCGGGGGAGATCCAACTCTGATTGATAACAATTGGAGGAACTACTCTATAGAGTATGATTTCCCCCATGGAAAGTCTACTGTAGAGCAGGGTTTCTCTCCTACTATATGGGAGGAAATCTTACTCTATAACATCGGTACCTGTTACATATTTTACATAAAAATAATAAATTTAATCGTAATGTGTATATACAGATAGAGTTTGCCAATGTAAGGAACACAGAAAGAAGATGAAAGAAACTAGAAACTCGTTGCCATGTCTACAAGAAGGTCTTCCGTTCAGCCCATCTTATCAAACTGATTTATTCTGCACCAATTATACGACATTCTTTGCAGTAGCGCAGTCACTGTAACTCAACAAATGGAAATAAATTGAATATTTTGTAGTGTTTAACAGATCTGAAATAAGCTTATGCTCAAGATATAATTATTGAAAATTCCAAGAGGATATCTATAATTACTGTAAAAATAACGTACAATCCGATGAAAAAAGATGCATATATAGGATAAAAACGTTCATTTAGAAATAGGATTAGATTGGGCAAGAAGTAGGCATGTCAACGTTTTCAATTGTTCGCCTATAAATTGCAAGAAATCACAAAAATACATGCTTGAAAATAAAGTTTTCTTTCTTCTACATGCACTTGTAGACAATCATTCTTAAAGACCTTATTTTTTTTTTCTAAATTAAAAACCATGAAAATAAAGTTTGAATAAATCAGGAGCGAATCGAACCCCCAACGACGCGGGAAAATTTGGGTCGGCTTTATCTGAAGACATTCTATAAAGCCTATAGATATCAAAC